CTCTCCCGCGCAATTAAACCATTTTTAAAAATCCAAGAATAAGACTTTAGCAAACTAGGTTCTCTACAGTTAGTTTTCCAGCTGCATCCATAAAGCACTAGACGCTAGAAACTAAGGAAAAGAGGAATGCAGTTTCTGGGTAGGAGGTTGGACAAGTGCCTAGCAGCAGACTTGCTGCATCGTAGGCGTTTAGTGAAAGGGCTTCTGCTTTGGCTGATCCTGGACTCCAGGCTTCTGCCTGAAAGGTTCCTCCTTAGCTTGACAGAAGGAGTAACATTTATTCTGGCCAAACAACAGCTGAGTCTGAGAGTTCTCAGGGTCTTTTGGAGGTTGATTTACCAGAAGCAAATAAAAACACGAATTTGCTACTGTGAATTTCTATTTGGGAGCAATATACGTGGAAGCACAGAAAGAAGCAGCGCCGGTAGGAGAGGTAAATATCGCAGTGAAGCAAGTCTAACGAGGTCGCGACTAACCCCACTGAAAGTGCTGGAGCACACATGGCCCAAGTCGCGCCGTGTTGGGTTAAAGAGGTAGGACTTCTATAGACTTCCTTGAATGGGTCACTGAATACAGGCCAGCCTAGGAAAATCATCCTTCGAAGGACATGGATTTCTACAGTGCAGCGACTCCTGACTTTGACAGGTTAAGGCTGTCTTTGAGAGTTAGGCCAAGGAGAACTCTTCTCTAAAATGTCGCACTCTTTCTCTATTAGGCCTAGCAGGTCAGCCTTTCTTTTGCTGAACTTTCAGGCTTCCCTGGAGCTTAGTCACTCACAGGGCCTCCTCCTCAGCTTTTGGTGTCCTCCTGCTGTCAAAATAGGGAGCTTCTTTGTGTGCTATCAAGGGTGTCTTTCCTTTTAACTTTCACTCTTCTCTTAATTGCCTATTTGTCTCTTAGATCGCTTCTGTTAACAGAAACTCCTTCCTCAATCCTGGCCTGCAGGCTACCGTTTGGACTCTGTTATTTTAATATTCCCTGATCTTCTTACTATCAGCAATCCTCTTTCCTACTACCAGCCAGAGTTTCTATAAGGCTACTCACCCTACTCCTGTATAGCACAACTCAAGTTCATTAGCAGTTTAATTTAGGGCTCTTAGATCGCTTCTGTTAACAGAAACTCCTTCCTCAATCCTGGCCTGCAGGCTACCGTTTGGACTCTGTTATTTTAATATTCCCTGATCTTCTTACTATCAGCAATCCTCTTTCCTACTACCAGCCAGAGTTTCTATAAGGCTACTCACCCTACTCCTGTATAGCACAACTCAAGTTCATTAGCAGTTTAATTTAGGGTTTTTTTTTACACCTTAAGGCCCTAGTCTGGGGAATGGCCTCTGGAGAGTGTCGAAGGGTGGCTTCAAAACTTAACGTGATGCAGTGAGAAGAGTCCATGACCAGGGATTACAGGAGACCAAGTGTTTCAGCCAGACTTGCCACTGTCTAATTATTATTTAAGATTTTTCACCCTTGCCATGCTTCTTTGCTTTAGGACTGCTGAGAGAATCAAAGGAAAGACATTATCTGAAAGCTTCAAAACCTGTGGCTCAAAGTTATGGTTAGAACAGAGTCTATGCATGCAGTCCTTCTGGGTTTAGGATTTGACCTAGAGACAAAAGAAAATGTACTATTTCCATGGCCTTCATCTAGTTTCTTGAAATTCCAGAGCCTCATTTCCTACATCTTTAAAAGAGAAATAATGAAACTTCTCATAGGCCACCGAGAGAACTAAGCGATGTCCTGATAGATGATTCTAAGTCATAATAAACGTTGCATAAATGAAACGTAAGACAATATGACAGAAATTTTTCATAAAGCCTTTGGGACTCTGATTTTGAATAAATGAGTGGCTTGGATTAGAGGGATTTTAAGCTATCCTCATGCTGTCTTCCTTACCTTCTGCCTTGGGCTTAAGTAGGAACATCAAAGACAGTGCTGAGGACACCCAGAGGAGGATATGGTACTTGTAGAAGAATTTCACTGGATGGAGTCTCATAGTTAGCCTGACACCCACAGTGGCCCTAGGAAATAAGTCCTTTACCCAAGAGGTTTTTAGATGCTCTCTGGCCTGGGAAATAATGAACAATTCTTGCAGAGGTCTCTACCTAGGAAGTCTGTAGACAGACGAAAGACTATTCTAGGGGCCATTTAAAGCAGTGTCTTATGGCATGAACAGAGCCAAGATCTATAGTGACAAAAATAATTCCCTTAGAAAGATCATCTAACTTTGCTTAGTCTAGTTCTCTCAGCTGCAAAACAGAATGATTCTTGCTTTTCTGATTCTGATCTCTCAAATTTCAAATGACAAAATAGAGTTGTAAAAATTCTTTGAAAAAATATAATGGCTACAGCAGGCAAGTTAGATGTCTTTAACTAGAAGTGAGCATATGTCAGATATCAGAAAAGGAATAAATACATTTAAATTTGTACATATTAACATTTATATTACTTTTGATAATTTACATCTGCCATATTAACATTCTCTGTGCATATTTTAACATAGGTCAGAGACTACATTTTCCAGATTTGTCTATATATACCAACATTCTCCACTGTGATACAAAATCAAACATCAGAAACAATGATGGCACTTTCTTGTAAAAGCAGACACCTTTGGTATCCCCAAGACAAGTATTTCAAAATCTTCAGAAGCAGAAGCTAAAAAAATCTACAATTTATCTAATTTTATTTCCCAGCTGATTCACATCTAACCCACAGGAGTCTGAGCTTAGAAAATGAGCTGAGTGCTTTTGATGATGACAATGAAGGGCAGCAGTGAAGTATATAAACTTGCTTGGGCTTAACTAAGATCATTGTGAGGTATAGAAGGGGTGGGTATACCTTCCTTGTGTTTTCAGAGATGGGAAACACAATCAGAATTCCACAGAATCTTGCCTGGGGAAGGCATCTGTGCTACTCCATATCTACAAAGCAGGAATGCCCCAATGAGTAAGAGTAACACACCAGATTCACTTATCCTGATGCCCTAACAACGTCAGACCACCAGTGACATGTACCATGGTTAGAATGAAGCCTAGGAAATAAGAACGTCTGGGCCTGAATCCCAACTCTCCTCATCAAGCCACCTATACAATAGGAATCATAATAGTTTCTATGTTGCATAGTTTATGTAAATACTTCAAATAACTTACTCTCAATGCAGTACCTGGCACAAAGTGAGGGCTCAAAAAATGTAATCACCTAGGAATATGAATCCTACAATTCATGTATTTGGTTCTCAGACACATTTGGGAAACCTGCCGAGTCAGCAAATATAATTTCTTGGGTGAATGCTAAACACACACACATTTCTTGAATTGAGAAAATATATGAAAATGGGTGAAGGAGCCATCACCATTGGAACCACTGAAATAAGCCAGCAGAGGGGAAAACTCTCTCGTGAATGCAAATGGTGCACCATCTCCCTTTACCACCAAGCCAACATCTCAGTCAGAGTTGCCCAATCCTCTCCCTAATAAGAACATGCAGATTATTCTATAGCTCTTGATTTACAATGAGAAGATAAGAGTTATCATCATCCATGACATACTTACTGAGAAATGACCATGCCCCGGGACTCTTTCATACTACAAACAGTATAGGATTAATTTTTAGAGGATCCCCTGACAGGCAGAGATTGTTATCCCCATTAAATAGATGAAGCACTCAAGATGGATCAGAGTCCTTCAAGGTTACAAGATTTCCTAGAACAGAAGCCAGGCCTTAGCGTCTTTGACACCCTCTTGGCTAGCAAAAGCTTTGCACCCAGTGCTCAGTAAGCACTTATGATATCTCTCAATAACTGTTCCCACAAGACTGGAACTGTACTTTTCTGCTCCTTACTGAAGCACCAAGTCTTTGGTGGTGATTTCTACTGATTGTTCTGTGAAGTCCTCAATGATTCTCACCTAATGAAACAACTTCCCAAACCAATCAGGCCCCTCTGGACACAGATAGCTCCAGGACACTTGCTTGCAGGAAGAAGGTGAAAGAACAACCTGGGGCAGATCCACAGCTAATTGACACTGCCTGTAACTGGTCTGTGAAGGTGTGAGCATTCTGCCTTGATCTTTAGATGCCTCTGTCACTCAAGGCTAGCAGATATCCATGAATTCACACGGGTTTCGGTGAGATTCCATGCCACAAAATCTCTTTTGATATTCGTGTGGTAGGAGAGAAAAACTTACACATAATTGTAGTTTGCAAATTCAGAAAAACGGACTTGGCCACAAACTCAAATCTTCCTCTAAATTATTCATAGGTGATCTATGCAAATCAAATCTCAGAAGTGACACTATTGCACATTAAATTAGCCAAAATATGTATGCACACTTCGGGAAAAGAAAACCTTGTATAAATATTTTAATACTAAATTGATTGAGACATCATGAGATTAATACAAGTTACCTTTGGCCTCTCCAATTACTACAGGTGCACCAAGTGATGCCTGAGCTCCCAGGCATTTATTAGTATGGTGAACTGCTGCCTGGGTAACCTTGATCATTGAGATTCTGCACATATATTTTCAATTTCTTCTCTAAGGGCCGGCAGTGCAATAGCTTTTCTGTGATATATGACATCCTGTAGTGTCCCCATACATGGATAACACCATCTGCTGAAAAAAAGTCATGCTTTTTTTCTTTTCCTGAAGTGTGTATGTGTGTATACATTTTTTGGCAGACTCTGTATAGATAGAATCTCAAATTAAATTAATTAGATATATAAGCTAACAGTGGCACTGAGGTTATTCTGGGTCTGAGATAAGGCAGAGCATTGGAGAATATATATAGTCAATACCTTTTAAGCATGGCTGTACATCTTCACACAAGTACATTAGTGAGTTTGATAGTCCAAAAAGATGCCATTGGTGGTCACCTCCCTCCCACAGCAAGAAGAAGACTTATGGATTCATAAATCTCATTCTTCCCAAACAAGCATATAAGGAAATTGACAATGAAGATATTAATTCAGACAAAAGTTAAAAAAAACAAAACAAAACCTACCTCAGGTCAGCTGAGTCAAGAAATGAATTCACTGACCACCATAACTGGTCAATTAGTTTCAGAGAAGACTGGATCCAGGCACTGAAGTGAGATATAAGAATTTTTGTTATTTCCCATCTCTCAGGCAATGGCCTCTAAAACTTAGCTCAGACTTTTTCTTCTCTTTTGAATTTAATAAAAGAGGGGGTCACCTTCCTGAAATCCCCAGGTTGGGTCATAAAGCACTTTTTCATGGACTAATCACCACGACTAGAACAGATAAACCCTCCATTCCCACCCTTCCAATTCACAAGGCCTGAGTGGAGAGTAACTGTCTCCCAAAATGTAAGTGACCAGTCGTTACCAAATGAAAGAAGGGCTACTATATGTACAAAACGACGGGGTTCACCATAGTTCCTTGACGTATTTTCCCCTTAAAAAAGTGTCCGTTAGATTCCCAGTACAACCACAAACCTTTAAAGTTGTCCACTGATAGAAAGAAGTCCATGGTTCTTTATGTGCAATGAGTGCAATCATGACGTGGAAGAGGAGGATTCTAAACCACAGTAAAAAGGCACAGGCTCTTGTTCTTTCTCTTCACGTATCTATGTTTACCAAAAAAAAAAACAAAGCAAAAAACAAAAATAATGACACCAAAGAGTCTCCTATACATCCCTGTTATAACATTCTATATATATGTAATCACTTCTTTTTCTCATTGAGTTCATTGGTACATTTTAGGTATACAGTACAGTTACATTCATCATTGGGATCTTGAACCCTTACATGACAGGTCTTGGTTCTCATTTTTCCCCATAGCCCTGCCCTCCCTTCACCCCCTTCTCCCTTCCTTATTTCCAAAAACTTTGTTTCCATTTATTCATTTTCTCATATTTTTTCTTTTCCTTTATTTCCTTTCCCCTACCCTTCCCACTTCCCCTATACGTTTAGCCCTTTTCTTCCTATTTCACATTGTCAAGTATACCATCTGGATCTTATTTACACTTTTAGTTTTTCACACTAGGGAAAGTATTCAGTATTTACACATGTGTGACTTATGTATTTCATTTAAGAGTATGACCTCAATGTACATCCATTTTCCTATGAATGACTCTAATTTCTCATTCTTTATGGCTGAGTAATATTCCATTTTATAGAAAAACCACATCTTCTTTATCCAGGCTCCAACTGATGGGCAACTGGGATGTTTCCAAGTTTTAGCTATTACAAACTGTGCCTCTATAAACATGGACACACATATATCACTGTGGTATGATGCTTTTAATTCTTTTGGAAAGATACTCAGCAGATGTAATTACTTTTTAACAATGCCTTCGCATCAGGACAATGCTGTGAAATAAAAATTAAATGTTAGACAGAAATATCATTTCAAAGTTTCTAATAGATTAAGGAATATAATTACAAACAGTGAAATTAATGTTAAATACAAATGCATTTAACCAAATGTTATTTCAAATAATGGCAAAAATGATTTTTATTTTACAAGCTTTATTTATATGTAATTTTAATAACAAAGTTCACCCATGTAAACTATATAATTTTTACTATATTTGCAGATCTGTTCAGCCATCATCATAATCTAATTTTAGATGGTTTTCATCAATCTGTAAAGAAAATGAGTACATTAAATTCACATGTCACAAACTATCCCACATCTTTATCCCTGGGCAATTCCCAACAGACTTTCTTTATGATTCTGCTTATTTTTAGTCATTTTATGTAATGAATTCAGAGACTAAGTACACAAAATCATAATATACTATGCACAAGAATAGAATTCTGACACACAACCAGTAACAACCATTCCAGAAATATACAAACCTACTATTTACAGCAAACAGCCCAGGAAGTCACACAAAAAACTCTGTAACAGCAGAGGAAAACCTTGCCAGAGTTTGATTACTAACAGCTTCCCTATTTCTTGCCAAAGTTTTCATATTAAGATCAAATGAGGCAGGGCAGGGGAATGGGGAAAAAATAAGAACCAAGATGGATTATGTTAAGGTGCAAATTCCCAATGATGAATGTCATTACGTTTTATATCTTATATGTGCCAATAAAATTAATTAATTAAAATAAAACAAAGATCAAATGAGGAAAGGAAATGAGGCACCTGAACCAATATTTAACTATATCTGCTCCCATGCTTTGATCTACCATTTGGCATCCCAAATTTAAGCGTAGTACCCCTCTCCCTTGCTAAAGCAAGAACTGAACAAGTAGCTTTTGCTTGTCCTAATTTGGTCGATCTTTGTTAGCTTTCCATAAAATCAAGTATCAAATTGCCTTTTGTTTCTGGCTTGTTTCATTTAACGTAATGTTTCCAACACTCCTTCATGTACCTGGTATTTCAGTGCTTCGTTCTCTGTTATGGCTGAGCAGTGTATTATGTTAGGGATATACCAATTTCATTTATCCAGTCAGTAAATGGATATTTAAATTCTTTTCTTTCTTTCATTTTTTCTTTTTCTTCTGTTATTTTTTCTATTATAAATATGCTCTTATGAATATTTGTATATAAGTTTTGGTGTGGACAGGCATTTTTTTCTGTCTTGTGTATGTACTTAGGAGTGTAACTGCTGGGACATATGAAAAATTCATAGCTAACATTTTAAGAAAATGACAAACTGTCTTCCAAATTTGTTGCACAATTCCACAAGAAAAGCATGGAATTCCAGTCTCCCCACATCTTTACCTGTTCCATTTATGGTCTGCATTCTAAAAAATATTTTTCCTTCCTGGGTAGATATGAAGTGGTATCACATTATAGTTTTTATTTCTATTTACCTAATGTGTAATGACATTGAGCTATTTCTCATGTGTTTTGTGGTGATTTGTAAAACGTGGCAATATGTCTATTCAAGTCCATTTTCCATTTTCAAACTGTGTCATGTCTTTTCATTATTGACTTTACAAGTGTTTTTTATGCATTTTTAGCTACAAGGGCAGTATCAGGTGTATGATTTTGCAAATATTTCTTCCAGTATGAGGGTTATCTTTTTACGTTATGAAAAATATTGAAAAAATAATGGAGGAATAGTAAATTATATTCTCCCAATTTTATTAATCTCTTCCCATGGGCTCAAATTAAATGGGAAAATATCTGTGTACTAAAGGGAATGTGGAAAACCTACGTGTTAATTCTAGTTTTTCTAATATTTACATTATGTTTAATTACTCTAAGCCTCTATTTTCTCATCTATACAATGGGAAGACTAAAGTGGATCCTCAAAATCTCTTCCAGATATGAATTACGTGGGCATGACATATGGTACAACAAAACATGAATCCTAAAAGACAGTCATTGTATATATCATAATTTTGGCCTAAATAAAATCTGCTCAGTGTCCAACATCATACAAATGATCTCTGATTCCTATTACCATCCATTTTATGCTTTCTTCCTCTTTATATCCCGTTCCTTCTTTCATATATTTCCTAGTGAGGTTTCTCCAGATCACTGCCTTCAAAAAGGGGCCCCATTCTAGCTCCATAGGAGTTTCAATGCATAACCATTATAAGATTAATAAGAAACACTATTTCCTGGTCTTGAATGTACCACATACCCTTTGAATGACAGAGACTAATTCTGAGGATAGGATAATCCTTTCAACATGGAACTTTGAACACATTAATGCTACCAAATACACATTGGAAAAGAGCTCTCCTATCTTGTGAATTTCTTCGCTCTTTGGGGATGGATTTGCTTGTGCTTGCTTTCCTGAAAACTTTCCCAGTCCACAACCATATATTAATGTCACACATGCTAAATTGACTTCTATAATGTATTATGCCTGGATGAAAATGGGGGAAAAGTCATTCTTCAGACCATATACTTTATACTACAGGTACAGCAGCTTTCACTGGCTTGTACATTGGTTCAAGTCCATTAATAAAACAGTGATCAAATAAAAAGGCCTCAGGCATAAACACAAGAGCAAAGATTTGATGATGGTTTGCACTCATTTGTAATATTTTTTTCCAGCGTGTTGTATTTTTTTTTTTACCTTAAGCAAAAAGTTGATGATTTTGTAATAGAGTTTTCTTTTTAAATCTTTTCCTTTTTACTTAAAAACTGCTGACTTTTCCCATCGGCTCTCATTCAATTGGCTCTCAGCACAAATCTCTACTACCTGGTTAACCGTATGGGCACTTGGTAGCAAGCAGAAGGCACAGCTTATTAATTGCACAAAATGAGATATTTGAATGCCTACTGTTTTTCTAAAAATTATTTTGAAATGTAAATAGTACTTATTCAAACTGCCTAAGAAGTTTATTTCATACTAGTAGTATTCTATAAGAACATTCTAGTCTAATAGAAATAAATTCAAATGTACCACTAACATTTGTAATGGTGCAGTCTTGTAAGAGTTATTTAATTTGCTTAAGGCTGATCACCCTCGTCTTTACAAGGAAGTGATGATAGGACCCACATAACAGGGTGAGGGCGGGATTTCCTAAGATATATACTGAGATACTATATAACAGGGACTGAATAAACTCTTCACAATGCTTGTGGAGCCCTTACCATTGGGACTGGTGTGTGTGATGTTCTTTTAAGTATGGCATAGATGATTACGTTTTTACTTTCCCTTTCAAACCTGGCTTTTGTGATTGTGAAAGCATTGGGATACGCTTGGTTCTAGAAGTGATCCAAATTCATGACAGAAGGAATCTGTAAAATAAGACAGGGTGGTAACTGCGGAGGCCACGCCCCCTGACGTCAGGCGCCTCCCTGCCTTCCTGGATTTTTCTTACACCTCCAGCCCACGGTGTTCTCTTCCCACTTCCCTTTCTGTTCCTCGGCTCCTTGCCTTTTTGCCCATGTCCCAGTAAAACAGAGCTCCTGTCCACTCACGTTCGACACTTTTCTGAGTCCTATGCAACACAGGTTTTTAAATCCTTTCCATCAACAAAACTATACAAACCAGACCACGGACTGAAACCTGCGAGCTACTGCAGGGCGTAGTTTACTTATCACCTTAGGTTAGAAACTCGGCCTGCTTCCAGAGCAGTCCCCTCATTTTCAGAATTAAAGTAGAAAACAGGCTCTCATGGTCCAGAGAGGAAAAAGTAGCTTTGATATACAAAAGGAAGTTTTTTTTGGCATAATAGTCACAGCAGAGATGGACTGAGGAAAAAAATACAAACAAGTCTTTTTCACTAGTCGAATGCATCAAAACACATAACATTTATTTATTTCAATTTTGTATTCCAAAAATTTTAAATGACTAGAAATTAGGCAATCATTATCATCACACTGTTAATTGTTTCCATAGAAATGGATGAATTTTCCTAACTTTAGAGTAGAACTCTACCATAACGTAGAATCCATTGTGTCTGAAGGAAACTTCTGCTTCTATTTGGGGGAGTTGGATTTATTCATTATACTAAGTATATATAACATTTAACCAATATAGTGCATGACAATTTAATCTCAAGAGCATATAAAAATAGCCTTAACAGATGAATTCAGTCTCCTAGGTCTGGATGTGACAGCCCCCAAATTACCCAATAATATTCTCCCTTTGAACACACTGCAAAACCATGCACATAGTAACTAGAACCTTGG